GATTAAGAAGAAGTTCTTTGCTCGAACTTATTACAATGTCCTTTATTGCTCCTGTTTCTTACAACGTTCTTTACACGGCTACGTCTCACTGCGGTAAACTCTCCGGCTTGCGGAGCCACACAGTGAGCTAGCAGTCCCAACTCAGTCTCTCCTCTGCTTCATCCACGCGATCGATTTATAGTAATCGATCGCGCTGATTCAGCAGGTCCACCGGTCCTAGCAACGGCCGTGCTAGTTACCGGTGCCGGTGTCGACACACGCTGCACTTCACACAACGCGGAGATGTGTCGCGCTCTGTGGCAACCAGCAGTTCTTCCTAGAACTGCTGCCTTCCTGCTACCTAACTAGGTCATTGAGCAATGACAGTGATGTCTCATCACATTGCTCAATGGCCTCACTTTAACTTACCTTTTAATACAAAAATTGGCGCACAACAATATCTATTAATTCACTTATATGTTCACACTTTACAACGGGATATGATAAATTATATGTTTTAAGAAATGTAATAGGTAACTCCATTATTTTGTTATTTAATAAAGATGTTCTCAAATTTTTCAATAGGTGCGGAGCATCAGCAATAAAGAACAGTTTGTAATTATTATCTATAGGATGAGGAATAAAATACCTGGATTTTAAGTTTCTCTTAAAGAAAATACCACCAAATGCTTTCCACATAGCTAAATTAACTGGACCCATGTCAGAAGTGACAGAACGAACGTATAAACCAGCACATTCTTTCTAAATAATTTGTTCTATGATTGGTTTTAACAAAGCCCTATCTACGTTATTAGGTGTGAAATAGTAAGCAACAGGAATTTTTCACCGAATAAAAATATCTCCAAGCATGAAAATTAAGGCATGCGAAGCTTCTGTAATTTTACTTATTATAAGTAAAAGAAAGAAAAAAGTCACATGCAAAAGAAAAAATACAAATAGAAAATTAAGAAAAGATAGAAAGTAAGTCATCAAATGAGGTTTAAAGTTACATTCATGTACTGTAGAGAAAAAATAAAAATATATACACAAGTTCAATTATTGAATCGTTTATATTGGATATGTTGGATAATTACCACATGTATCAGGAAGGGTCGAAAGGCCAATATACGACAATGTACTTTGATCGATTTGTTCGCCTGACATTAAACTCATTTCATCTATTGCAAGCATGCAATCTTTTTCTCTATCATTACAGGATCGGAGGGGAGGCGTGTCCTTCACGGCATAAAGGGCGTAATGGCCCCAGAGGAGCAAACGCGGCCGAGCGGAGGACGGTCGCCCGTGGCCAGGAGGAGGCCATGGAAACGAAGGACCATGATGGCTCACGTGGTTCAAATTAATGTGAACCACAGCGGGCCGATACAGGACTTGGCATTCTAAGTCATGCGCGAGAAGGAGGCGGGCATCCTGGTACTCGCGGAGCCCTGGAGAGTCCCGGAGTCCCCACGTGGGCGGGGGACGAGGATGGCGTGGCCGCCATCACGTGGGCTTACCGGGCAAAAAATCCTTCGGTCCGTGGGATCATTGACCGTGGTCACGGGTCTGTGGCGGTGAGGTGGGGGAGAATCGCAGTATATAGCTGCTATGTCTCCCCCGATGGCACAGGGGTCGACCTTGACGGGTTCCTGGACTCTCTGGCGTCCAGCATTGCGCGAGTTGGGGGAGCCTCCGTGCTGGTACTTGGCGACTTTAATGCCAAGTCGAGGGCATGGAGCTCTCCCCGAACGGATTGGCGCGGACGCGTGCTCGAGGGTTGGATAACAGGCCTGGATCTTTGGGTCCTCAATGAGGGTGCGGCGCCTACGTGCGGCCTTAGGGATCCTTGGTTGTGGATCTCACGCTGGGATCGGCCTCGGTGGTTCCGCTGGGGTGGTCGGTGTTGCAGCGGCAGAAGTCGCTGTCCGACCACCTCTACATCACCTTTGAGGTAGCGGAGCATGCAGGACTTTTCCCGGGAACGCGCCGGTTCCCATTCCCGAGATGGAAGATCCGGGAGTGGGACCTAGACCGGTTCGACGCTGCGCTTTTGGGCGCGATGTGGGGGATGCCCCCCGGAAGGGAGGCCAGCGCGGATGAGGAGGCGGCGTGGCTTACGGAGGCCGTGACCGATGCCTGCGACGTCTCTATGCCGCGTGTCAGGGGAGTCGTGGCGAAGAAGTCCACCTATTGGTGAACGGAGAATATTGCGGTCCTCCGCCGGTTCTGCAACGTGGCCCGGCGTCGGTATACGCGGGCTCGAGTTCGGAGGAGTCACCTTCCGGGGGTGGTGGAGGTGCTGCGCCATGCGTTCCGTAATGCGCAACGAGAACTCCGACGAGCTATCGCGACCGCGAAGAAGGGAGCGTGGGAGGAGCTCGTTGCAAGTTTAGACGGGGACCCGTGGGGTACCCCGTACCGTTTGGTGCTGTCCAAACTGCGGACGGCGGGTCCGGCTGTCACTGAGACTATGGAGGTGGAAAAGGTTTACAGGATAGTTAATACCCTGTTCCCTTCTCAGGGACGAGGGTCTCCCTGCTACTCGGGGCGCGGTCCCGTAAAGTCGGGTGTTCGAGGTGACAGCGGAGGAGCTCTGCTCTCTAGTCAGGAAGATAGCTGGGCGTCGCACTGCCCCCGGCCCGGACGGTTTGCCCTGCGCGGTTTGGGCCCGGGTGTGCACCAAGGCTCCGGAACACGTCCTTGGTGCTTCAATCGGTGCCTCAGGAAGAGCGTCTTTCCCGACGCGTGGAAGCGTGCCAGGCTGATGCTCATCCCAAAGCCAGCTGCACCAAGCAGCGGCCCGCCGTCCTTCAGGCCGATTTGCCTGTTGGACGAGCTTGGCAAGCTGTTCAAGCGGGTTTTGGCTCGCCGCATAGAGAGCGCGCTGGAAAAGCGAGGGGGGCTGGACGCGTCCCAGTTTGGGTTCCGTCCGCACTTGTCGACAGTGGACGCGGTCTTCCGCTTCCGCTCTGTGGCGGAGGGGTTTACGCGGGAAGGCGGGGTGTGCGTCGCAGTGTGCCTCGACGTCCGCAACGCTTTCAACACCCTGTCCTGGGGGAGGGGCATCCGTGAGGAGGGGAGATACTGGGAGTTCCCGCCTTACCTCCATGCCGTGTTGGACAGCTATTTGTCCAACCGGCACGTCGTGTACCCATGCGCGGATGGGCGTGTTCGCTCTTACCGCGTCACGTGCGGTGTTCCACAGGGGTCCGTTCTCAGACCGCTCTTGTGGGATGTGGGTTTCGACGCGGTGCTGCGGGCCCCGCTCCCGGGATGTTCGCTCGTTTGCTACGCGGACGACACCCTTGTCCTGTCGGCTTGACGCGACGAGGGGGTGGCGGCTGTGTCCCGTTGTATGGAACCGCTGGGGCTCGCTCTCGCCCCGGCGAAAACGGAGGCGGTGGTCTTCTGATCTCCTCGCCGTCGGGGGGGGGGGGAGGCGGCCCTGTAGCGGTGTGGGTAGGGTTAACCCGGGTAGAGTCCAGGCCCCACATGAAATACCTGGGCCTTCAAGTAGACGATAGGTGGAAGTTTAGGGTCCACTTTGAGTATGTGGCCCGTAACACCCGCAAGGTGGCCTGGGCGTTGAGCTGGCTTCTCCCCAATCTCGGGGAGCAGCGACAGAGTGTGCAAAAGCTGTACTCCAACGTCGTACACTCTGTCGTGATGTACGGTGCACCGGTGTGGCACAGGGAGGTCGGGGTGGGCCGAGCGGCCGCCCCGTTAGCCACGATTCAACGGTTGGTGGGAGGCCTTATTAGTTGTGCGGGCTTATCGGACTGCGGCTCTAGAGTCCGTCCGAGCGCTCGCGCGGGTCCCCCCAGTCGACCTTTTGGCGAGTGCGTACGCCGAGGTGTACGCGGCCAGGCGGGCGGCGCTGGAAAGGGCGCGTGAAGCTGGCCAGGACCTGAACCAGGAGGAGATCCGGCAGGCCCGGTCAAAGGCCCACGAACGAATGGTGCTGCAGTGGCAGCATCGTTTGGAAGACCCATTTCTTCCCGGACAGAGGATCCGGGAAGCAGTGGGGCCGGTCCTGGTAGACTGGGTGGAGCGCCCGTATTTCTGGATGACCTTCCGATCTACCTAGATGGTTACGCCATGGTGTGTTCGGTGCATTCTTGCACCGAATATGTAGGGTAGGCACCCCGAAGTGTGAGTACTGCGGCTTACACTCTCGAGGAGTGCACCACTTGGAACAAAGAGAGAGCAGCCTTACATGAGGTGTTTGGCCCTGACGTGTCCCTACCGTCTGTTTTCCGGCAGGCAGTTGGGGACCTTGAGAGGTGGCGCACCTTTCTCGCTTTTTGTAAGAAGGTGCAACATGTTAAGAAGGACGCGGAACGTCTTCTTCAGGGTCAGCCTCTGGTCCGGATTGGGACTAGGGACCAAGTTCCCTAGTTCTAGCGCAGGAGAGATGGGCCCTGTCTCTCCCTCGTCTTGTTGGGATGTTTTTAAAACTACCCTACAGCAGGCAGGAGAGAGACAAGTCGTGGTCCGCAGTTTGAGGAAGTGAGGGCTTCCTCGAACATTGCACACGGACATGGGAATTGCCAGAGAAAGATAGGCTCCTCTCTGTCATTGCAAAGGGGGAGGGGTGCGGTGCTTTTCTTCTTCTGGCACCCAGGCGCGGGAGCAAAGTCGGGATGTATAGCCCTCCGGCTTTCCCTTCCAGGGCGCGAGAATAGCCTCAAGGGGTTTTAGTGAGTACGCCTCTTTGATAAGTCCCACATAACCCTGGCCTGCCCTTACAGGTCAGGGTATCCATAAAGGATTTCCCCTTGTAAAAAAAAAAGATTGGGTTAAGTTTTAGAAGTTCACTTAGATTAACCTTTGCTGAACAAAAGGCCTGTTGTTCAGGATTCGCACAGCGGATTCCGCTTGTGGCAACTCGCCCCTAACATAAGCATCACGTAGTTCCGACCGCGGTTTATACCGCCGGTTCCTCTATAAAATTTGAGACCGTTCATGTCGACTCGCCGCTAACGTAACCGTCATGTAGTTCCAACCACGGTCTGTACCGTCGGTGCCTCTATGAAATTTGAGACCATTCATGTCGATTTGCCGCCAACGTAAATATCACGTAAGGCGGCCCGCTAGTTCTCAGAGGACTGGACGGTCCGGCAGTTTCTGAGAAGACTGGACGGTCCGGCAATTTCTAAGAAAATTAGACGGTCCGCCGGTTCCGGGAAGCTGCGATCGGTGGCTCGAGAGAGGTGGTCGCAGATGAGTTGACAAATAAGAAATCGACAAGTGTGTCAACGAAGAGAAGAGGAATGTCGATGGATTGATGAATAAGAAATCGCATTGAAAAGAAGGGGATAAAAATCCGACAATAAGTGGCTAAGAAGAAAGTAACGGCCCAAGCTAATTAAATATAAAAAAACGTTTGAGCATCGGAGCCAGAGTTCGTTCTTTTCTTTCTTTATAGTTCAGTTCTCAGGTAAAATATTCTCAAGTGCGGTTACAAAAATCCAGTTTTCTTGTTCGTCAGTCTAACGACCCGACCGGTGCCAAGTTCACAATCAGTGAGTGATCCTTGTGGTTGGTCAGTAAATCCTGAAAAAACACTCTGCTCGAATTAGGCGACTGGTTCTTGACAAGGACGTGCAAATTTTTCGGGTTTCGAGTTAACTCCGGTCTCAACGACAAGTAGTGAGTACTAGATGTATCACAAATAAATCCAGGGGTTCTCGCGCTTGTAATTAGTGTAACAAAGTGTTCGAGGACATAGAAATCTTAAGGTACAATTTCATAGTGTCGCTTGTCGCTGAGATGAGTAGTCACGTGATCGAATTTTGTCCACTTTCTTGTCGCTAGCGATGCCGAAGAAAAGTTGGATTGAATCTAACTTTTAGCGACGTCGCTCTCACGCAAAATGAGTTTGAATATGGAATCGCAAGATGTAAGTACAATAAATAAATAAAGAAATAAGTACAAGTTTCTTATATTTATTGTAGTAAAATATTGGAATTAAAAAATCAAATAAATAGAATGAATTCAGTTTGTTATAATTTCAAGGTTAACTGTTAGGTTAATGTATTACAAAGTTAATGTAATCATGCACAGCAGGATAAAAATTGTTAACATTAATTAATATAATTTCATACAATTTTCAGATAGCTGTTGTACATACTTGTGGAATATGTGAAATGATTATCGAGAAAAAGAGTATTCCGTCTTATGATTGCGTGGAAGGATACAATCGGTTCTTCATCGATACAAATTTTTATTTCTATCCAGTAACAAGTATAATATATATATTTACTTACTTTTTGTTTTGTCAGTGAGAAAAATAATATTCTACAAAAATTGATATTATTATTGATATTATTATTTGTAGATGATAATCGCATTGTTCGACGAAGCCTTGTCGACAATGAAGAAGTTGTCTTGCCGGTTGAAAAAGTTACAAGTAAATAGAAACTTTGAAATCCTGAAAGTTGCAGTAATAAGTGCATTTTTTAAAATAAAATTGATTTTACGAACCATAAAAATATTTCTGTCAAACAAAGAAACATCACAAGGAAAAAATGAAAGTAGATTTCATAATAAAAAAGCCAAAAGAAAAACCGTAAAGTCATTGAATTACGACGACGAGGAACTCCTAATTTTATCCGTTCAAGAAAAAAGACCCTTGTGGGATTTTACTATTCCATTAGAACAGCGATGCCAACGATTGACAAAAAAATTGTGGGATGAAGTCTCGGAAACATTGGGAAGTAAAAAAACGTTAAAAACATTCGTGGTTAAAATATTAAAAAAAAATTTATTTACAGGCAAACTTAGCGGGGAAGAAGCAAAAAAAAAGTTTAAAAATTTACATGATGCCTATCGACGAATAATTCAGTCCGAAAATCTTTCTAGTGGATCAGCTAGACCTCCTCCTACAAAAAAGTGGCACCATTATGACTCTATGGAATTCCTGCGTGACTTCTGTCTTGTCAAAAAGTAAAAATTATATATTTTGATTACGTACGCTTTCGAACTGTTTTGTTTTTAACTTGTAATTTTTATATTTCTAGGGGAAAAGTTTCTAATATTGATGTTAATGATGATGACTCTTTAAATAATATTGACCAATCAATAAATGATGATGATGCAACTGGCAATGATCAATTAGAATCAGG